CCCCTAAACATCTAGGATTTAAAACAATAGTAATATAAATAAATCTATCTATGAAGATTGCCCTAGCTAGAGTGTAAACAATTTGTCAGAAAAAAGCTGTGTGAGAAAGTCAACACATATTATTTTTATATATATAAAAATGAGTAATGAAATTCATTGTTTCACAAAGAAATTAATTAGATGCTCTTAGCACTGCAACTGTTTTTATAAACGTGGCAGCCATTATAAACAGGTATAACCAGTTCACTCACATAGCTCCAGACATCAGCATCTATCTTATTAGCTGAAGAAGTCTCCCTCAGGAGAGTGGGAGTTATGGTTCATTCTAAGAAGTATTGGGGAAGTAGCCAACTTCCAGTGGGGGCTGAAGAACTGACTTGCTGCCCTTTTTAATGTCTTTTTAAGGGAGGTCCATATGATCTACATTAACAGGTATTACTTACTAATTTCATTTTACTTGGTTTATTTGCCTGTGACTGTTTTATTTATGTATCTAGTAATCAAAAATACCTTTTACAAGACATTTTACTACTTTCCTTTTTGCCCTCCCTGGCAGAGCACATTACTGTAGTTTTGACCTATATTGTATAGCTCTGCCTTTCAATAAACAGGAGAGCACAGAGTGGCTTGGCTGGGTTTTTTTTACCCCATCACAACTGGACTAAAATATATCAATTTATTTTATGAGTTTTCACAACTCCTTTTCCAATAGGTAACTGGTTTTTAATATATTTCTTTCTTATCCTTTCCATTTACAGTGGGAAATATCCCATTCCGTGAGACAGCCACTGTGCTGCAACCTCTCTGAATCCAGTAGAGGACTGGAAAGGGCTCCTGCCAACACCTGGGAAAGTCCTTGAAGAAGGAAGAGGTTACAAAACTTGATGTAAATTACTGCAAGCTTCTGCTAACACAAATCCTTTTCACACCAACAAAGCAGCCTTTACCATCAGTCAAACTGCAAGACGACTTCAGGAAAACAAACAAACAAGCAAGACCCTTTCAGAAGTTCATTTAATGAAATTATAATTAAATCAATGCATCCATAATTGCACTCTGTAATTAAAAAAGTTTATATGTTATATAAACATGCATTTCTGCAAAACATGCTAGGCAATCTTATTTATGAAGTGTTGTCTAGCTATCTAGCTCTAAATGGATCTCTTTTAGTAAAGTAGCCCTTTCCTGCTAAGCCCATTCTTTATAACTTGAAGAGGAACACTTTAAAGGAATTACTCCTTTAAATTTATTTATTATATTATTTTAATTTATTTATTCCTTTAAATACTCCTTTATAAGTGAATTAGTTTTCAAAACAGTGAGGGCTAAAAAGTGGAAAATACAACCTCCACTGCCTAAACACTCATATGTCATTTCAAAAAGACCTACATATGGAAATTTCCCACTTATTATATATTCTGAGAGCTATCACTTCTGACTGCTAGTAATTGCCAATGTGTTCAGTTTGCTTAGCAACAGTTTTACAGTAGATGTACCATTTGTGCTATCATAAGATACTTGCAGATTCTCTTAGAAGTATATGATGCTTCTACTGAATTTCTGCTAATGTGTGTGACATCTTAGTAGGATTGTCTGGATGGATTTGTCTAGATTTTTCTCCTGGTGTACCTTATGGAAGGCAGAAGCACTGAAAACATTGACCAGTTTTTCCCTCTGCAGAATCATTTCTCTTTTGTTACTCAAGAATGAAAACATTCTCAGCAGCCCTACAGACTTACTTCAGTGGCAACCACAGAAAGCAGTTCTGAAAAAGTCTTCCAAGTGATAGTTGCTATCTTTTACAAACTATTGACCTATTGGAAAAGTTAGAGAAAAGTGCAGCTCTTGCTTCAGATAAGGTTCCTTGTGCAGCAAGGCAAGCTGCAGTCACATCCATTTCCCACTTAATAATCATAGAATCATAGAATCAACCGGATTGGAAAAGACCTTTGAGATCATCAAGTCCAACCCTTGATCCAACACCACTGCAGTTACTAGACCATGGCACTCAGTGCCACATCCAGTCTCATTTTAAAAACCTCCAGGGATGGTGAATCCACCACCTCCCTGGGCAACCCATTCCAATGTCTGATTACTCTCTCTGTAAAAAATTTCTTCCTAATATCCAACCTAAACCTCCCATGGTACAGCTTAAGACCGTGCCCCCTGGTCCTACTGCTGGTTGTCTGGGAGAAGAGATCAATGCCCACCTGGCTACAATCTCCTTTCAGGGAGTTGTAGATATGACTCTCTGACCAAAACAAGTAAAGAGTTGCTCACAAGAGCAGCACATCCATCAGATGCGAGTCCACAAAACTATCCAGCTCTGTGAGTGGTTACGAGCAACTACAAGCACGCTATGCGGCAAATGGATTTAGTACAACTGCACTTATCATCTGTTGTTGTGTAATTCATAATAAAAAAACATCTGCTGACAAAGTTTACTGATCTGCAGTATTCCAGAACTCCACACAGCGTGCAAAACTTCCTGAGGACAGGGATTTAAAAGCTGAAGGATTTCTCCACACTTTGCTTCACGCCTTAAAACCACCACACATACCCTCCTACAATGCTAGCCTCGAGTGAAGTGTATTCTGAGCCACAGCCAGAAGACACTGTGCATGAAATGAAGATGTATCCATGAGCTCTGCTATGAACCTGAGGGGAGCGTAGAGATGGAGAGACCAATGTGGACCTAGATGCCCTCCCTTTGGGCTGTCATTCCTCTCACACAGGTCTGTGGTTCAGCACAGAGGCCCCGTCCTTCTGCTCCAAGTTCAGGGCCAGTTGCATCTCTTCCCAGTGCCTTTGTGCTCATCCCTCCCTTCACAAACTGCCTCTTTGGCCTCCACTCTGTTGCCAGCCAAGTTGTCATGGTTTTCCTTTCCTCTTTGCCAAGCTCCAAGGGCCTGGTTAAGCATGGCTCTGCAGCATATGGTAAAGATGACCACCTGACCAGAGCACTGCAGAGGTGTTTCTCAACTCAAGCAGAGACTCCACAGGATGAGGCACATGAAACCTTAACATTTTCTGACTCTACCACAGAAACATTAATGCCACGAATAAACACAAACCAAATATGTTTCAAGCAACAAACCTAGTACATAAAAGACTGTTCTAAAATAAGTTAGAGTAATATTTGGTGCACACTATGTTCCGACATGGTATTTTTCTTCATTTGCAAGTCCTCAATTTCCTGGAAGTTGCATGGTATTAATTTGGGTATTGATGGATTGTTTGGTACAGTTTTTAACTGTTGTTACTGTAAGATCTTAAGGGGAGGTTCCCATGCATTTCAATGCAGTGGATTATGACATTCCCTTAGCTGTTTTGTGGGATTTTGACATAGGGGATTATGACATTCCCCTGTTTTTAGACTTCTACGAGACATCACTGTCCTCCGTAGCAAAGGTGAAGAGGTTCTTTTATCACTAACCCACCTTCACAAATCTAGAAATAAGGCACACATTAAACAGCACAGCTTTTAAATACGTAGTGTTGAATGCTGAACCTTGACATTATTCTACAACAGAGAGGATTATAAAATTGCCACCAAATTACACTCTTCCTCTACAATATCAAAGTATGAAAAGAAAAAACTGGGAATCTGTATCCTATGATACACCAAGCGAACTGTGAAAAAGCACTAGGATAGGTGTGAGCTCCACAACACACACAGAGTTAAATGCAGTGTCAATGTTGGGGGCAAACAGACAGTTTTAAGTTCAAAGCTTAGGTCTTATCAAGCTCTGGACTCAGATCTATTGCAGTTATTGTCAGGTGGCGAGTATCAAGAGAAGCTGACAGGACTTGCAACAACCCCAGTACACAAAATTGGAAGATCACCAGTGAGCAGCACAAAACAAGCATGGTTTTGGAATGCAAAAATCTCCAAAACAATGAAATGCAAATAAAAAGTAAAGCCAAACACTGAGACCACTATTCTATTTGTTTTCCGTTTCTTCTGCCTCTACTCCCACAGCCTGAGTAACTTACAAGACCTCTTCCCAGGTCACTGGTCTGTATTTATGGAGTTTACACTATTGTTACCTGTCCCCTAACAAGTGCTGCCATAACTGCAAGAATAAAGTAAGGTTTTTCAAGTACAAAAGCTAGAAAGAAGGCCCCAGTCCAGAAGACACAAAGTACATCTTACTGGAAGTGTTACAAAAAATAAGTGCTGACTTACCAAGAAATAATTACCAGCCATCTATAGAGATGATCTATGGTCACATCCCCACAGAAGCCACAGCTGAGTGTTAGAAAACTTGGCACATTTCAAGTAAATGTAGAATTCTTGGGGAAAAAAGCTTTTGAGGACTACTATCAGACCTTACCAGTTCTAGGCCACTTTGATTGTCTGCAGAAAATAAGTGTCCCTGAAATCATTTACATAAGTAGTTAAGAGCAAAGCCAGAAGCTACTGAACTGGACAACTCTCACACGGGTCTTAGAAAATACTTGTTTAGAGCTCAGTCCCAAAATACTTGTTTTTAGGCTCAGTCCCAAAAACGGAATCTTTTCCCTTAAGCATCCACCTCCCAAACAAATCTTTTAAGACTGTAAAACACTGGTTAAAAGTCGGGTGGGTTGTTGCAGGTTTTTAATAAGTTTTATGTTTTATGTGTGGTATTTTTGCTATTGGATTCTAAAGCATTCCACATGGCTTGCATGAAGTTTGCTCTTGTCACTGTCTATACAACTAGCAGAGCTGTGGATACTGAAGAGAGAGTTGCTGGCTGACATCTGGGTTATTTAAGCATGTTTTGGATACAGTTTATCATCATGAATAGTTGCCTGCCATTTGTTATCACAGAGGGGTAACAGTTAATAAATGGTATATTTGAGGATGCAAATGCTTGCTCATTTAATGCTATCATTCATGTAAAAGAGCAGAAGTAAAAGCTTATAAATGAAAAAAGAAATAAACCTTTCCTCTGAAGAATTTTCCCTTACAGTTCAGCTCAGATAAAACTACGAAAATAAAGACTTTCAAGTAGTAATAGTAAAGAACATTTTATTAAAATGGAAATTTTTCAAACCTTATTTATCAAAACTAAGGCCACAGCTAATGCTAACACGAAGTCAAGAACCTGAGAAGGTTCTTATAATATGAAGATTCTTACAATTTAGAAATCTGAGACAAGGCTATTTTACAAACAATTACTCAAACATTCTGAAATGCAGCATTAGTTACTTATTTTAAAATATCAATTATTCTAATGATAATATTTAATGATACAAAGTACTGAACTATCAGTGCATGTAACCCGTCTGTATTGTGGTCCTGTAATAAAAGTAAGTTTCTGCATCACTCCAGCTACAGAAATGAATGCAAGTACAAAACATTGTAATGGAAGCTGCCAACAACTCTCTTGAGCCCCTTTTCTGCTGAGCTCGTTCCTTTTCTTCTAATGCTAAATATCTCCAGTCATAATAGCAATAAATTCTTCTTGATTGACTGTAAAAAAAATAAAAAAAGAAAAAGGAAAATCATTAGACAAACAGCAAATAAGCATAAACCATAAAAGAAAATTCATATCTGTATTATAATTTTACTTAAAGGTTTTTCTGTGAGTATTTGCTGCATTTGATCCATTACTATCAGGGTTTGGATTTTTTGCTTCTACAACAACAGGGGTTTTGCATTTTTTTTCATGCAAACTGAAGTCAGAATACAAGCTTAGTTAGGTGGAATATTTTAGCCCAAATCTAGTTCACATATAACAAACTATTATTTCTAATTATGAAAGTAAAAATATTCTAAAAATAAAATATGATAGAAAAAAAAAAACCTGAGAAACATATGTGAAAAAGCCAGTGATACAAAAACATACTATTATATTAAGTTTTACAAAAATGTTAAAAATGGTACATAAATTTTATTTAGTAAGTGCTTCTTAAGAAATATTTCAGCTACAGTTATGATTAATTCAGTTTTATTCTTAAAGTCATGATTCAAACATTTATATCCAAACCACCCCCACAGACCAAACCACGCTACTCCTCTCCCTCCTAAATCTGTAACACTTGCCAAACATAAAACGAATTTTAACATCGTTTACTAATTATTCCATAAATTAGCTAGAATTCAAATGGACTTTTGATGAGCCTTTCCCCATCTGAACTTTCCTCATTCGTCATTTATAATTAACAGAAATTTTACACAAATGCACTTGAAGAAATTAAGTCATAATAATAAATTAATTAGCAGCCAATAATTATTTTGCTGCACTTATACCTGAGCTACCGACCTTACTCATATGCTAAAACAGAGACACTGTAAAAAGAATGAACCTGTTCACTCTGCAACTAATTATTGTAGTGGGGAATGATCAGAATAAGTCAGTGGTACAGAAAAGACAAAACACATACAAAGAATTCTTCCCTGACAATTATCCATCCCAGTCAATACATACAAGCTACTCCTAAACAAAGCAATGCAAAGAAAGAGCTACATCTACAGCTAGAAGATAATCAAACAAATTCCACTATGTTGAAGAACTAAAAAAAAAATTAAAAAAAAATAAAATAAACCCCAAACAACTAAATATACCTTTGTGTGATGCATGTAAAAAAATATGAAACAAACAGATTTAGTCTAGCTTAGGATTCTATGCTCTGAAATACCTGTCCATCAGCTATTCCACAGCTATACCATGTTGTAAGAGACAAAAATACTGTCTTGACTGTATGACTTTAAAAAGCCTTTCCACAGCTTTATCACAGTAACAACACACTAACAGCACATTCAAACATCCTCTCCAAAATACTCTCTGGTTTACAACATCCTTGTTAAACAAGGCTGCAAAGTGGAAAGACAGTATCATAGTGACAAACAAATTTTGTAACATTTAAACAAACTGCAAGAAGAAGTGCAGTTAAAATTTCCAGTAACACAAGTGTGCAACCAAGTGGAGACTATGTGGTCCCCCTCCATTCTAATCCCAGCAGAATGGGAGAAATACTGAAGTATGGAGAATGCACAGTACCTGTCTAAGAAGGGGGAATCAAGATGTTCTGCTGCTGAAGCCAACAACCATGTTGAACCTCCTCCTCATGTGCCAAATCACACTCACCACCTCTCTCCCATTAAGTACACCAATCAGAAATAAAAGTACTTAGTAAAAAAAAGTAAAAAAAAAATACTTATCACTAAAACCACTCAAACTCCATTCAAACATAAAGAAAACAGTATAAAAGTAAACTGTGGATGGGGGGAAAGTGGGAGAAGACCTCCACCAAAACTGCTGAGATCAGTACACAAGCTGAGCCCACCTTCTCCTCCCCAAAAGGGACGCCTTGGGTGAGAAATATACTCTACATGCATTAAATGCTGCTCTTAGGAGTAGAACTTTTTGTTTGTGCTTCCCCCAGAGCATATTAGTTAGACTGCTTTGCATCAGAGCCTGTCCTTGCTTAATATATGTATCAGTAGATTGCTTTAAAACATAGTTTTGCAGTAGACACTATCACCGACAACCTTCAAACCTTATTAATCTGTCACAATTTGTATTAATACAAAGTGTTATTCTGAAAAGTGTTAAAGCGATTCCTTGCAGTTGCCAGCAGCGGAAAACACCTTGGCAGGACCTGCTGAGGGGTCTTGGTTCTGTTGAGTTGCCTCTTACAAGGGAGGTCGAGGTACTCTCTGATCTTGTGAATCTGTTGGTGAAGGGTTTCCTTACAAATCACTGACAAGACTGTTGGACATTAGGGTCTGGACATTCCAAGGGATACCAACAGGCAAAAATCTAAACTCCCACCTTTCATGTGACAACAGCAAACCCAGTTAATCCTCTTCAGACTTAGGATCTGTTCACAGGTTAAGCACAACAAGAGGAGAAGCAACTGCAGTCTTTCATGGAATCTCATTTCCCTCAACTCCATGACAAAAAGAACAAAGTAATATCACAGCTAATATGAAGAAAACATTGATTTACAATCTTGAGAATTAAAAGTGAGGTTTTTTTCAGTGGTGGGTTTTTTCCCTAGTTCTGTGCCAAAAGTTAAGACCCAAGACTGCATCGTATTTCCTACAAATGCATCCACACAAGATAACAAAAACTGCATGAACTCACAGCACTGAATTTCTAAAATTAGTTATGCTCCAAAACATAAGGCATTCCTAAACCCAGGAATACAGAAATAAGACTGCTTAAGTTTTTAGGCAGACAAAAATATGTAAAAAATATTTTCTTTTACAGAAATCTATGTACAGCATACCAGTACAGTTCAGTGGTTTTGCTGAGAATATGAAGGTTCCTGTAACCTGAGCATCACACAAGAGACCTTATTTTACTGTGAGCAAAACAATCTCTAAAATGTAATAAAGATGTTAAACCAAAAATGGTATTATTCCTATATTTGAAGTATCAATTAAAAATGCTACCAAACTAACATTTTCAGATTTTTTTTTTGAGAGCAGGAAAGAAGGAGAATCAGACAATAGTAAGATTTTCCTACATGACCCAGATGTTTGAAGATAAATAGAATGATGATTCACAGGATTATTTACTTTTTCAGAATGAATCTTAAGAAACTAAAAACAGCCTCAGTTTTGTTCAAAGAACAAAAAACACACAGAACCTTAAGGATAAACAGTACTATATACAAACATTATGCTGTCAATCTTCCATATTCGATCTTGTGCTTGATTGCTCTAACAAAGAGAATGAATGGATGACTGAGTAAGAGGAAACTGAGCCACCCACTCTTAGCTGATCAATTTGATTTAAAAAAACGTAGCACTGACAGAAAATAATTATGACTCAATAACCTTCCTGAAAGGAGCTAATGGTGTGTGTTCAACTTCTAGTGCCCAAATAGCCATGTGAAAAAAAAAATATTGATCCATGATTCTGACATCTCATTCGGCAGCTCCAAGAGAGCAACACATGACAAAACCTGCTTGCAGATGAGTTCTACTTTCATTCACCTCTATGGCTACAACTGTCACAGGACTATCTGTCACAGGGCTGAAATTTTTTTTTCACTAGGAGTGAGAGTTTTGAGTCCAACAGCTCAAAAGTGTAAATACTACTGTCCCTGGAAAAGTTGATGAACTGCTAGTGAAACCTCAGACACAAATCACCATCCTGAAAGAACAGTGTTCAAAGATTGATACAGTCTTTAGGTGCATGGTCTGAAGTGCCCGGTCCTCAAAATCCAGATATTAAGGTTTCTGGTGTAAAAATAAGGATATTTTGAAGTTGATGAAAAAACCCAAAGTTTCAATGTTCAAAATTATTTAATAGGCATACTATCAAACTGAATTTGTTAATTCATTCTTTTTCCAACTAATAATTTCCTTCTGCAACCCACTCTGTATAGACCTTGTCAATTCTAGAGCCATTTTTCACACTAGGCTTTCCAGCACTCCCATGCTCAGAAGTACATTAAAGACTAATCCAAGCTGATCCTGCACAGACCCAGGGTACTTCCAGCATGATTTATTAGCTTACTGCTCCATGTCCAAATAACACGCTGAAATCACAATAATGACACATTGCCACTTAAGAAATATTGAATCAGTGATCAAAAGATTGACTTTCTCTTAGCACTTTAATCCTTTCATGATTTATAAGGAAATAAAAATGTAATGTAGGTACACAGAATCTCCCATGTACCAGGTCAATTACTTTGACCTTCAACTACACATTCATCTCATCGTTTAATAGATGTTGGTTGAGTAGGAGTTCATGGTGAATCAATTCAATTCTTAGACTCCAAGATGTGTTTCCAAGAGTAGCAGTTGTCAAAAACAACTGTCTCCACTACTTGTAAGCTAAATTGAGTTTGAGCTGAAAGTTATCTAGAAGAAAATTAAAACGGACATATTCACAACAAAACCACATTTAAAAAGGGCAGAAAATTACAAGGTTATATGGGGGTTTATTTGCCAAAACATACTTTCTCCATCTCCATCCTTATCAAATTCTTCAATCATAGCCCGTAGTTCTTCATCAGACATGTTTTCACCCAATTCTCTAGCAACCCGGCGCAGGTTTCTCAGACTTATTTTGCCAGAGTCATCATCGTCAAACAATTTGAATGCCTTGAGTATTTCTTCTTGTGGGTCTCTGTCCAATATCCAATCTGTCACTGCAAGAAAGATACTTCAGTTAGACTAAAAAATTCTGAAGGGTAAACTCAGAATGACCTATGTAACCTGAGACAATATGAAGAACAAGCATTTCTGATTTCGCCTGTTCTTACATTTCTATGTATTTCAGTTCAACATGCATATTTGTTTCACTCTTGTCTGACCTCTCTTTTTCATCTCTTTTTCCAAGCTGAGTTGCTCTTTATGGTGTAATTCTTGCAGCGGAAAGCCACAGTGCAATTCAGACACAGTCATGTTTTCCACAAATTTTTCAACAGGAATTGAAAGTTTACACAGGCCTCCTCTGTTTCAAACTTCCAAACTTTCAGAAAAAAAGCCAATCAGCTGTGATAGATGAAGATCTGTGATTTTTTTTCATTTTATGTTTTCATCAGAATAGAATTTTGACTTGGAGAGAACACTGAAACACTAAGTAAAGAAAAACATTCACATGGAACCTCTCTTTCAAATACAAAACCACACCAACACAAAAAAAGACCCCAAAACAACAAAAAAAAATCTAAGCACAGGGGTTACATAAAGGGCACTACTATGAATTGCAAGAAGTGTATTCTGAAAAGATTCTTCAGTCTTTACTATTCCTTTTATTACAACCATTTGTCATTTTCTGCAACACAAAAGGCAAACTTCCCAGATTAAATATTTTTTAGTAATTATTTCAGACCAACCAACAATAATGTATCTTCACATCTTTGTACCTGCTAGTCTTGTATTACAGGGCTTGCTATTTATTACTTCATCAAGCCATTAAAATCACATCAACACCACTTACGCACAAAGAATCACTTACCATCTGCTCCTGACTGCAGATGGAACGTCTGCTTTGGTTTAGCAAACTTGAGAGGAAAAAATTTTTTCAGGCTCATATAGGCTCACTGCAGCAATGAAGTTTACGTATCTGCATAAATGCCCCAGATTTATCCTAAATTTAAATATTTTCTTTTAAAACAACAGCACTGCATGAAGTACCACATCTTTTGAAAAATGTTTTTTTGGTAAAAAGACAACTAAATAACAATAAATGCTAAGTCTCTAAATACAAAACTGTATAAGACAAAATGTAATTGTATCTTTATATATCTCAGTTAAACACTAAATGAAATCAATGACTTGAGTATCGCTCAGCCATATTCAGCAGCTCTTCATAATTAACACTTCAATAACCTATTTTCTCTAACTCCACTATCTCTCTGCTAGAAGTGATATCATGTTTAATTCTGTGTCAAGGTCATATTGCACCACCATAGCAACTCTAATCTTCAAATTTTGTGACAGGTTCAATCCCCTTCCAAGTATCTATTGTGTATTCTATAAGAATCTTCCTAGCTTCTTGCAGCACTTAATGATTGTCCATATTGACAGCCAGGGTAGAATGAGGAAACTATGAACAGGATTGAACATCAGGAATTAAAAAAAAAAAAACAATAATTGCATGGTAATTACAGTATATCCATTTATATAATATTACAGCATAATTGTGTACTTTTAAGAGTAGTATTACTATTAAATCAACACATTCACTTTCTTTTAATTTTTTTTTAATTAAATCGGGGCCGATCACATTTATTTCCACATAGGTTTTATAAGTCAGAAAAGAACCAAACCAAATTTTCTCTAACCTGGACTATAACTACAGAAATATTGTCTGTCACTAACAACACATTTTGTTCAATATTAACCTGCTAAATCATTAAAAATTTGCCACATTTCAATCAATAACTTGTTTTGTCACATTAAGTAGATTGTTATTTGTAGCCGAAAGCAAATACTGGGGGTTTGGGTGTTCTGTTTGAGAAACCCTACAGAAATCTAATACCTTGGAAGAAATAGATTATAATGAGCATAATTAACTATAATGGACACAATGAACTAGAGATATAAAGCCATATATGGAGAAATCCCACACAGCTTACTTTTTGGCAAACATAAATTGTATGCAAAAGCATAAACTGTGTGTAACAAAAAGCCCCTAAAAACTTTAAAGAAACTTAGAGTCTAAAAATTCTGCAGATCAAAGTACATTAAACTGCACAACGCACAAACTCCAGTAGAAATAATCCACTCATGAAATTCTGTTTTTATCAACAGCTGAAAATCCTTGAAGTACAATATTTAAAACCTGTTTCAATTTTTCTAATCTTTTTTTATATATGAAGTCTGTATTCAGCTTGCAGTTTGTCTGTGTATACACTCCTTCCCATTAAATTCAATGCTAAAGACCTTTTCCATAGCAGAAAGGAGAATCTGACAAAGATCCACAGGCAATACAAGAACATCTATGTTTTAAGCTAGCATTCATTCCTCCGTGTAAGCTTGAAAAAGATTAGCAGTGTGTATACCCCACACTGTTATACTGTGGCTATCGTTTATGTCTACATATCAAATTAAGCATAAAGAAAAAAAGATTTATCTTCCTCTACTACTGATCTAATATATTAAGAAAATATGAAATTTAATCTCCCAATTCTATTTCTAAATAATACTAAATAACTGAAGAAGTTACACAAAGTACTGCTTCAAAATTGTAGTCACTACTATAGACTAAATATCTCTAGAGGTACACACAATCAAACACATACCAACTTCATTAAAATCTTCAAAGGTGATCTTGCCTGTTGATTCTCGATCATAGTCTTTAAGTATTTTCAGGACATCAGCTTTTTTTACATCAAAACCCAAGGCTCTCATTGCCACCTTTTGGAATAAAACGGAATTGCAACCATAGATAAGGATTAAAAACAAATTTAACATATTTTCTTTTTAATTTCAGTAATTACCTTCTTGCCCAACAGAGAAAGAACATATCAGTGGTTTAGAAGCAGTAATAAATAAAATAAGTAACAGAAAAAGAGCTTTAGATATTAAAACCACCTAGAACTACTATTAGGAAATAGAACACTGAGTTACAGTGAAAAACTTGTATTTTTAGGGATTTTACAGACTGGATCAAGTATTTCTTAGGACAAGTAGATTTATTCTCCTCACTTACAAAACCATTCAAAACTTACCTTTTAAAAGACAGAACCGAAAATCAGCCTCCAAATTATTTTTCATTATTCACACAAAGTGTGTGTATGTTCATGGATTTACAAATACTCTTACAAGTGTCTTTACTGCTTTTTCAGTGAACAGCATAAGCCAACCTATTTTTTGCTTTTCCATTAGGTTAGAACTCCACATTTAGTTTCCCACTTTAACTGAGATGGCAATTTCTCAGCACACTTGACTTTCTTGACTTTCTCCAAACTGATGTACACACACTGAACCACCACTGGAAAACCACAACGCTTTTGGAAGTAGTCCTTCAAAAATCTATGCTATCCACTGATTTTGTAGAGGAGATACTCTTTTTCTTTATGTAATTTTGCTTTTCCACACTATTACCTTCAGGGTGACAATACTCAGCGAGACAGCTAACAAACAATTTTGCAAGTAATCACAACAGCTGGGAATTCAAGGCACACCATAACCAGGAAAAGCATATGAACAGTCCCCAGAAACAGTCCCCAGCACTACCCTGGTCACAGTGGCTTCCAGCAAAGATAAAGACTTGAACTCTGAAATAAATAGAAGGGAATTGCTATATCTAAAACACTCGCATAAAGCAACTTAAGTAAAAATAAGACTTTTTTCCTTTTTCAAGTTATTGGGTAGAGCCAGAATGTGGAGCCAGTAAGATTGATTAGGCATTCCTTCCAAAAATAATCTCACCCAATATATGACAGAAATACTGGCCTCTCCAAAGTTACTTTCTGTTCCTGATGCCATATGATTAGAATAAAAACTCATAAAGAATTTAAAGCAACCTTAATGAACTTCATCTACTACTTATATAGATTTCCAGACAGGAGGACTCATTCAGGAAGACTGCCACCCTAACCTCCATCTGCCAATAGCTATCAACAGAAGCATCCTTCACTGGGAAGGGCAACTACTGAGCCTCCCACACACAGAGTAAAAAGCACACCTTATTCCTACAGACAATAGGCTTCCTGCTGAAAAATACAAGTGGGTAAGCTCTGGCTTGTAGTCAACAGTTTTATGAATTTGATTTGCATCTTTTACCTAAGCATCTGAAACCTGTGGATTCTCACAACACCAAGCTTTAGGTTACACAGTGCCTTTAAAAAGAACAGTTTTTCAAGAACTCTTGCTTCCTGGACATCTGTCCAAGCTAATTCCTGGTGAGCAGTTAGACCAGGGTTATTCAGAATGCTACAGCAATGCCATTACAGAATTAAACATATAGTATGTAAAGACAAGCTTGTTCTTACACCAATGCAATATTTCCTGGGGGTTTTTTTCTTTTTTTTTTTACTCACTCCTTTAACTCAGCAAGACACCCTGAAGGAGGTTTTTAACGATACAGCCAACATCTTAAAAACTCACTAAGGAACAGGTATATTAGGTCATAAAATGAGTTGAATGAAAAAAGCTTTTACCTTCAATTCATGATAATTTATTGCTCTATCTTTGTCTGTATCAAACAACTCAAAGGCATCTTTAATTTCTTGCTTCTGTTCCTCAGTCAGTTCTCTTCTTTTCTTCTTTTTAGTTTTATCTACTGAAAGCTCATTCCTACACATGAAGAAAGAAATTTAGATCTCTATTGGGAAGATGCCACTGTAGATAACATTTTCCACCAATAAGAAACTCACCATAATGGCACAGATCACCACCTTAGCTATTAAATCTTTTCCCAGTTTCTACTCTCAGTTTAAAGTAACACTTGAAACAGATAATTCCTCTGTAAAATATGAATGACACCTCATCAGCACAGGCATTTTTGTTAATAAGTAACAACAACAACAACATGAGGGCAGAAAAACTACCAGTTAAAAAGGCTTTTTGAGGTTATAAACTAGATTAGCCGTTGAGATGATACAACTCCTGAAAACACTTTGTTTCTACACTGTAGCTTAAAAAAAAAAAAAAAAAAAAAAGTTTTTTTACAGACCAGTGCAGGCTGAACTAGGTCAGGCAGTGTGGCTACTAAAGCTGGCATTAGGTGCCACAAATCGGCTTTGCTGCCTGTAACAGTTCTTAGATAAATGGTATTTACAGGGTTCTTTTTTAAAATCCTTTAGATCAAGTACATACACACTGTTCTAAAAGACTTTTTGCTCTGTTTTGGTATATACAAAAGAGACAAGCTCTCTAAATCAGCAAATCTTGTTCAAACACAGCCCTGTTTTCTCTGCTAGTCTAATGAAATTAGATTTCCAGAGGAGCACATTAAAAGGACATAAAATGCAAGAGGAGAAACTGCAGCTGGATCTATGGGGAAACATTTTCTCAGTCCATGTGTTTATATGCTGGCATGGCTACACTAGCAGACCAAGAAGTCTCCATTATTAGAAATTTTTGGAACCTTACTGGAAAAGGTGCTCAGCATCCTCATTCAATTTTGAGTGGGAGCTGCTCTGATCAGAAAGCTGAACCAGATGACTTCCGTAAGTCCTTCCTAACCTAAATTATTGTATAATTATTGCATAATTTATGTTATACTCTCAGGAAAATGCTTTTTACACTCATTTGTCTATTTGCACCAGGGGCCAAATGCATGCTTTTGTCACCTAGTGTAAAATGTATAAAAATTACCGATGAATGAACACAAAACCTTTCAAGATTTACTTTCCAAATCTCCTCTAATAAGATGATTTATCTTCTTCTTTGTAAAGGATTTTCTAATTTTAAACAAAGCCTAAGATTAAACATACGGCTGAGATTTAGCTTCCAACAACCACTGAACTGTAAAAATTCCAAGTACAGACAAGAAAAGTGCAGGCTGCGTGAACTGGACTTGCCTTGGACTACAATATCCTCAAAGAACAAGAAGCCCTTAACAGACCAATTGAGACAGTGTGATTGCACAGAGGCTTTGAATTACTGTAGCTCTTGGAAGGACTAAAATAACTCTGAGCTGGCTACACAATTAGAACTGGGACAGTAGCTCAGATCCAGAGAGGTCAGATTTTGTTAGGTACAGTGATGAAATCCATTTATAAGTCTGAAATCAGATTAACACTGAACTCGTCTGGAAGAGCAGCTGGGTGCTTAAGTGTTCATTTGGTGCTCAGGATAAAATGAATTTATCAAAAGACAAAGCAGTGCCTAAACACAAACAGCTCAGTGCCACTTCCACAACCACTTTTACCACATGAAGCCTGAAGTCCTTAGACTTGAAAATTAGGGATCACAGCTGCCATGTAAGCATATTAATTATGCTTGGAGACAACCATTTGCCAGGTGTTGGGAGTCATAAGCCAGGTCCCTTCATACAACAGCTCCTGAAGCGGAATTTACAAACAAAACACACCGAGGAGCCCAATGTTACCCCTATTCCCAGACCTTCTGGACGTGCATTAGGCAATCCAGAGCGAACCTCCCAGCGCCGGGTCGTACCCTCCCCGGCACACGGACGGGCTCGACCCCGCCGATGGGGCCAGACTGACCGGCCGGAGGCCGCGGATGACCCCACGGGCCCCGCCGCGGCCGCTGCGCCCGCGCTCCGTCAGCACCACCCGAGTGGGCCCGAAGGGCGGCGCGGCCATCGGGAACCCCCGCCCCGCTTCCTCCGGGCCGGCGGAAAGCGCCCGGCTCATACCGACCTCAGGGCCAGGCTCATCCTGCCGCGCTGAGCCGGGCCGGGCCGGGCCGGGCCGCAGCACACGCACCTCCGGCCCCGCCGCTCCTGCCCTGGAGACGCCACACAGCGGCAGAGCCAGGCCACACCCCTGCCAACCGACCGACGCCTGATTGGGTGCAGGCCGGTATAGTCCCTCCTCCAGCTGCGCTCTTATTGGTCGAAGTGCTGCCACTCAAGGCAGAGGGGGAGGAGTCCCGGGGCGGGATTGGTGCGCGCGGCGCCGTTAAACGCGCGGGGGGCGGGGCCGGCACTGCTGGGAAGTGTGGGACGGGCAAACGTTTTTCCTGAAGGATGTTGGTGTTTGATCTTGGCTTTCAACCCTGACCGACAAGAAACGGGGTTTAACCCCCGAAGTTGATAGGAACTAATAAGCAAGCTCTTAAGTGATGTCCTGGTGTTAGAGAGACCAATTTCCTGTATGTAGACTTTTCCTTATTAAGGTTTAGGGCTCGACGTGTTTCAGTGATCTCAGACAAAGAATGCTGAATTTACGGGCCATAAAGGCATTTGGCAGAATCCCCAAGATAAAGAAGAAATTAATAAAGACAGCTCATCAACTGTGCTCGATCAGCTCCGACTGGGTAAAAGGCAATTCCGCTAGGGGCAGATGTCCAAGCCCCGACACAAAAAACCCACTGATCCAAGAGAAGAGAGAGACTAAGCTAATTAGCACGAGAAGAGTGAGAATCATTAACCAATAGATACCAATTGATAAGAGAACTGTGTAACTTGTAGCCAATGAACATTAATGCCTTTGTTTGCTAAAATGTATGAAAGTTTTTACAGCTTGGGTGCTTGATCTGTGGAACATCACCAAGGACCAGGGCTTGCACTGCTCTGAAATAAATATCAATGTCTCTCTCGAGTGTGTAATTATTGGCTTGTTGCTCACCGGGTAACAAGTCCTATTTTTGTGAACATCTTTAATGGCCCTGCTGTCACATGGATGTGCCCTGGCTGTGTCTGGAGAGGTCCCCAGGCCCTGCCCACTCCCTCCCAAGCTGTGGAGGAGCATGCTTAACATTCGACATTTACAGAAGCATTTCTGGCACTGTACAGACTTTGCCTCACTACAAATTTCATGGAAAGCAATCCATACTATGTGAAGACTGAAGACCTTATTGCATAGTTCCAGTTAACATTGACGCTAATGTTTTTGTGCCTTGCAAAGCAGTCACTGAGTCAACATTATATATCTGTGGGTGGGAGAAATACTCATATCACTGGTGAGAAAACTCAGATTTATGAAACATGCTGCCTCAGTGCTCTGGTCTGTGATATGACAACTGTCCCTTGTGCCTTGCTTCACAAACAGGGCTGTTTTATAACCAGCTGTGACAGCCTGGTCTGGTGTTAATAGCTGGACCATAATGCCATTCAGATCCTTGCTAATACTGTGTTAAGCAATCTGGCTAGATTCACTGAAAATACTCAGGCAATGAAAAATTTTTTCAGGCATTTTAGTCCTGCTCCTTTCAGGACTGACAGCATATCTTGATGGTGTTTTACACTTTCAGACACCTAGTTTTCTGGTAATAACCCCGTAGTAGGTTGACCCCAGGTGCACACTCTTGGATATGAAGAACTTGGCTCACTCAAAACACATTTTTCCTGAACAAAGTCAAACAGACATGAGGCTTGGTTTTTTTGTGGTTTTTTTGTTTGGTTGGTTTTTGTTTTGTTTGGTTTGGTTTGGTTTGGGGGTTTTTTTGTTTGTTTTTTTTTGTTCATACAACATATTTACATGTCCAGAGAGAAAAGGAAAAATTAACCAAGTGGTGAGCACACCTACCTGGAGTGGGGGAGAATAGTGCCAGGAGCCTGGCTGCACCAACAGCCCCAAATTGTCCTGTTTCACCCCACTGGATATTGATCCTGAAGCTCAGCATAGAGGCCCTTGGTCCTTGCCTAAGCTGCACTGAGTTATTCCTGCCTTCGTGCTGTGTGCTGCTGTTGCTGACATATTGACCAGACTCTGTGGCCTGGCCATTAACTTGAGTCACCACCTTGCCACTGTCTGGCAGTCACCGGGATGTTGACAGGTCAGGTTACTGTCACCATCCCTGCACTCTGGAGGGAGGTCACAATCCCTGCCTGTGTTGTGATTGCCTTTGGCTTCCAGCTTGTCCTCTTTCATGGAGCACCTGTATCCTGACTGCTCTGTGTCAAGCAGAGTGAAATGTCTGATATTCTCTGAGCATGCTTCTGGGAACTGGAGATCTGTGTTCAGGTCTCCACTTCCAGACTTACAAGACAAGCTAAGGAATTGCTCCAGAAATCAAAATGCCACTGATTGTAAATTCATTAGGCTGGCAGCAGTGTTCCTACTGCATATGAAATGGAGATGCAAGGAATTCAAAACAGAATTCAAGACAGGGTCAAACAATAATAGCTAAAAATAAGTATGGGGGTTTAGTTGTGGCAGCAGTGACTTGCAAACCCTTACATTTTCAAAGTTGGCTAAACCCCTCCTAAAATCACTTCTTATGAATAGAGTTGGTAAATTAGAATATCTCTAGCATGTTCCCCACACCTGTGTATTGCCAGCTTAATAAAGAAAATAATTAATTATGAGGCATACTTAAAAACTTTATTATTGGCTTTTAATTAATTTTCAAACTCATCTGTTGCTATGTGAAAGTCATTTGTGGGGCTGCTTGCCAGCCCTCTCTTTGAATTGAGTGAATGTATTTCCTTCCTGAGTCCTAATTTTGTTAGTATTTGAAGCCATCCTACCATTCCCTCGTCCCAAGATGAATTTGAGTGGGCAGATTACAAACCTCATTTAACTGTTCAGAATCAGATCATGTATCAAAACCTTAATTAAATGAATCCAGAATTTTTTAAAGGAGTGGTTGGGCATACAGATTTCATGCAAGTTCAAGTGGGTTTTGTTCATTTCACTCTTACAGTAAATCATATGGCATGAAAATTAGCGAGAAAACATAAAGCTGCATTAAAAACATACCACGTGTCCTTGCCAGTTCAATGATTGTAAATGTATTTCTGTGGACATCTGGATCTCTTCTTCCTGTGTCAACGTTATTTATTTTTCCATTTTTAATTGCTTTTGAGTGCCTTATCACATCCGAGGACATAGTTGGGCATATGCAGGAACATGCACAGTCAGTTACTAAATTAATTTTTTAACATCTAAATTAATTTTTAAACAGATGAAATTAGCCTACCCAATAAAAGGGAGTAGCCATGTGCTGAAGACGGTTTTGGGTAGCACAGCAAAAGCAAGGGGCAGGTTTAAAACACTGTTGGTTTCTAGTTTAATCCCTAATCCTGCCTATTCTATTTTCCTGGTCAGTGTAGCCCCTGCCCTGTCCTGGGGCGGCGCTGCCACCAGGTGGCGCCGGGGGCCCGGCGCTGTGCGGGCAGGAGCGAGGGGCAGGAAGGGAGAGCTGCGGACACCGGAGAGGTCCTGACTGGCTTCGAGGTAGGATTACACCACGCAAAGCAACGCAGGGTTAAGATAGTGGTAGTGTGATTTAACGTCACATCAGAGTGCCTGGGCTAATGATGCCCCTCAGAGCACTGGACTGCTTTCCGAGTACCCTGGAAAGCGCTGTTCCACACAGGGAGTGCAGTTCAAATGCAGCCTAACCAGCAAATCCCCTGTGCTTCAAATACACATTTAGCTTCAAATAAATTTAAAATAATTTTAAAATTAAAATTTAATGAGTGCATTTTTACTGTTTCTTGATAGTTTCTCTGTTTCCTAAGTCAATTTGAATGTGAAGGGACTGAAGTAGTGGTAGTAGTTTTGGTTCAATTTTTAGACAGAAGTGGGACTACTTACTGATTTAAGTAATACATGCATTATCTATAAATAAGAACTTGAAACAGTGTTGGCTGAATTCTGAGACCTAGATTTTTAGCGTTAAATATTAATAATTCCGGCTTTGCCTCCAACTTTATCTCCTCTCCTTCCTAACAGAGCCGAGTTTTATTTTTCTTTAGCTACAGATGTCTTCTCTTACACGGCAAAGTGTTGTACCAGACTTTAATAGCACTAGGTCTAAAGCTCATCCTGAGCTCTGCTTTATAGAGTCTTACAGTTTAAGAGTTAGGATGCTTTTTTCCCCACTAAGAATCTTCTTTTTTGCAGAAACATCCCATGTTTCTGTCACAGTGTCATAAAAGCAAATTTTACTGAACGCAAATATTTACTCATGTAAATAAAATTAGATGCTGTAGAACTGAAATAATTAAAATTACTGTTTCATTTCCATGTGTATTAGGAACATTATAAAGGCTCCTTACTCATCTGAGATAGCTACCTCACAACGGAGCATCTGTTGATTATCAGCTGAGGGTGCTGGTCAACAGCAGCTGAACATGAGCCAGTGTAGGTCCCAGTGGCCAAGGGCAACCTGGTTTGGATCAGCAACTGCATGGGGGCTTGACCAGGGAAATGACCATCCCTGCACTTGGCCCGGACTCATTATTTCAAGCTCAACAGAAGCCACATGACCATTTGTGTTCCAAATACAGTATACAGCTGCCATTCACCACTGCCTTGTCTGGAAAAAATAATCTGTCCCCACAAACTGAAACTGACCCCCAAATATACATGTTCACCACGTCCAAGTTTTCTGTGTGTGAATTGTACTGAAAACCTAATTCTGATTTGTGCTAACAGGTGGTGGTTTTTTTCAAGAAATACTCACTCATGGTTTTTATGTAAGTTTTGCAGCATAAGTCTATAATGTGTAAACATTTCTAATGCAGTCTCTTGCTCAGAAGCATAAACATTTCTGCTCACAACTTTTAAAGACACTTCAATCAGAATGGATAAGTGCTTCTCTTGAAAAATACCTAGAAATTATGACTTCACTGCATAGGGTTATAATATTTTTATTATGATAATCTATGAAAAAATTAATTTTTATGTGCAAACTGTTGTTTCACATCACAAGTCTTGACAGATTACAGAACAAAACTTCTCATCTGATTTTTATGTCAATTCCCCAGTCTAGTGAAAATTTCATTAACATATAGCTGGATTTTACAAAGAAATCAACACAGTTCTAAATGCTTAAAATGTTGCAATATTTGAACTTACAATGCATAATTTAAAT